CGCCCCCGCCGCGGGCCCCCCACCGGACCACGCATCCCGATCGTGGGAAAATCCATCGGTAATGTGAGCGCGCGCGCGCACGCCCGGCGCTGGCCCTTGGCGGGCACGACCCCCCGGGCCGAGGCGATCGACCAGGCAGCCACCGCGCAGATCAACAAGATCCGCCCCCCCCACTTGTCCGCTCCTCGCCCGGTGTCGGCGATGACGCGGGGCGCTGATCACCCATGCTCTGACCCTGGCAGATCCATCCGACCGCCGAGGCCGCTGCCATCGCCGCCGCCCGACAGTGGCTGCTACCCCCGCGGCCGCAGGAGCCAGTGCCCGAAATGCTCATGAAGATCGAGAGAGAGAGAGAGAGAGAGAGTGTGTGTGTGTGTGTGTGTGTGTGTGTGCGCGTGTGTGCTGCAGGTTAATGGGTGCGGGCATGCTCCGGCGTCACAGCCCCGGACCGGTCCCCTCCCGGGCGACAGCATCCGGGCGGCAGTCCCCAACCTCGCGTGCAGCCACTCGCCCGAGGGGAACTGCACAGGGACATAGATCGACACGAGCATGCGAGACTGACGCTTTGCCAAGTCACAGGCACGACCAACGGCCGGCGCGGCCGGCCGTGCGTCCGCCCCCCCGCCCGCCCGCTCGGCGGCAGTGAGATATAGGCCGATGATTCGGGGTCGTGGTTTTCGTTGGCGATAGCGGCACCACCGAGACAAAGCCCCCCGCGCCTCCCGCCTGGACATGCTGACCGTCGGGCCCGCTCGCCCCGCCCCCCCCTCCCCCCCCCCCTGCCCTCCCCCCTCACGCGAGTCTCCAGCCGCTAGCATCGCCCCATCCGGGGAATATGCCATTTGACCCGGTACGCGGAGAACGATCGTGGCCGATGCGCCCGGCGGAGCGCGGTGCTCTGCGCTCAACCGGGCCCGGTCGCCGCGGTGTTCCCTTTTCTTTTTCTTCCCCTTCTGCCTCTTCGACTCGCTTGGAGGGTCTTCCCCCGGTGGGAGACGCCCACGCCACGGCCACAAGCCAGATCGAGTCCCGAGCAATGCTGGCAATGAGACGCACAGAGGCCGCCCGGTGGACAAAGCGATTAAGAGCAGCTGTCATTTTAGGTATGTCGCAGTGCGTGTGGATGTATGTAAGTGCGTGGATGTCGCGGGCATGCATGCTTGCGAAGCGCCCCGCCGAAATCGGGGAATCCATGCGCTGCCCGCCGGCTCTTCCTGCCCCCCCCCCCCCCCCGTGCCTCGGGGCTCCCCCCATGAAAACGGCATGCTGCTCGCCGCAGCATTCGCTTGCACTTTCTCGCTCGTTTGCCCGCCCGCTCGCCCACCCACCCGCTTCCCGCGCTCGCATGCAGACTCCCGGTGCGCGACAAGTAGGGGGGTACGCGCTTCGCACCAGCCACCAGGGGAAAAAAGGTGCTTCTGTTTTATTGAGCAATTTTCCCCCCTGGCGCCACCGCTCCCGCCCTTGCCCCCCGTGGTCCATGGGCTCGGCATGCTCTCCGACGACGGGCTCGTCTGGCAGAAGGGGCTGGGGCGACGCAAGGGAGCCCCCCTTGCCAGACTCGCGGCCACTTGATGTCGGGCTCACAAACTACAAACTCGGCGGCCTCAGTCCCACCCCAGGGCATATCGGTGTAACTGGCTCCCTCCGCGCCCAACCATCGCACAGCCTCCCCCGCCCCCCCCTCCCCCCCAGAAGGATGCGCGCGCGCACACACACACACACACACACACATCCCGGCCGACTACGACCGGAGGTTGTGGCTATGAGGCCCCCCTGCTGGGGCCTGAACGCATGCCCACTCGCCCGCCCTCCCTCTCGAGCCCCCGGTGGCCTCACACATCCAGTCATCATCTGCTCGCGGTCGGATTGGTGGTGCGGATGTACTTCCCGGGTCTCCTCCTCCCATCCCCGGACCTCATCACGATCAGAACACTCGCCATCACCCCAGCCGGGCCAGGGCGCCCCGGGGGGAGGAGGCGGTGGAAAAGTGCGGGGGCGCCAGAGGGTGAGCAGCGCACCACCTTCAGGGCCCATCCTCCCCAGTGAGAGGGCCCAGTGTGTGGCGTGAATTCCTGCGGCTGTCAGATGGGGCTGTCTTCTCGATGTGCTTTTTTTTCTCTCGATATGTTGCCTATGTGGTGCCAGTACTGGACTGGAAAGGAGCCAAAGAGTCCTACACACAACAAGAGCCACACCAGCGCGCTCCGTGCCCCATGAGCGTGCGACCTCGAGCACCGGAATTAATTTGCATTTCCAGCGACTCACCCTCGGCACACACACACACACACACACACACACACACACACACATGCATACATACACATATGGTTGCTGTCTGCGCAGGCCAGCGGGGCGGGGAGTCTTCCCAGTCACACATGCTCACGCACGTACCACCCCCCACACGGACGCCCGAATCATCCCCATACACACACTGAGCCGTTCTTTTGGTCCTGCCCACCCTGGCGGAATCTGGCATCTGCCTGATGCGCGAGGGGGGTCCACACACTGCAAGGGACGCACGCATCCTCCCTCTCTCTCTCTCTCTCATCGCCATTCGCATCCCCAAGGCATGGCGAGGGCCCTCGTGCAGCGGGCAAGCATATCAGGGGTTACATGGGAGACCGGCTCGAGCCAGGCCACGTTAACCGCAAAGAGACACATCCGGGGGCGGCGGGGGGAGCGCTGGGACCGAAGGTTTCCCTGACCAAAGGGGCCTGGGCCGTCGGCATATGGAAGTGACAAATGGAACAACCTCCCGCCGCCGGCCGGGCCTTTGCTCCTGGCGAAAGGATGAAAACCCGACCCTTTGCGCCATCACGCGCACACGAATACATGGCAGGCGTGTTTGGGGCGGTCAGGCAGAGGGGGGTGGGGGCCAAGTGTTGGACCGAGGGGGCAACGCGCTCGAGGAGGGGCCGGGGGGTGGCGCACAAAATGTCCACCACACAAGGGGGGAAACAAACACCTGGGTGGATAAGCCTCCCCTCGGCGGCATTTCCCTGGCTGTGCTCAACTTCTGGTTAAAGGACATGCTGGGGCATCTGCCATTCCCGCGAGCACCGCCCGCGCCTCCGCGCGCCGCCCGCACCACCGCCCCGGCTGCCGACCGGGTCTAGGGCCGGCTGATGCCCCGCGCCCACTGTGGGGGGCGGGGGGGAGGGGGGGACTTTTGTCGAGAGGGAGGGGCGCGTCCACTCCGCGGGGATGGAGCATCTCGAGCGCTCCTCCCCCTCCAGATCCCCCTGGGGCAGGGGCCGGGGGGGGGGGGGGGGGGGGGGGGCGGCGGAGGAAGGTTACCCCTCTCAAGCCTGCGGCAGGCCTCCC